GGGCAGTTCTGTTTGTGACGATATATATACCGGCGTTCAGAACGGGCCGAACGCCTGAACCCGAACACCCGAACGTACTTTGGGAATGCGTTCGGCCGTTCGGGGCGAAGGCAGACCAAAAAATGGGAGGGCATGTCTTCGTTGTTGTTGTTGTTGTTTGTTTGCTTGTTTTTTTTTCGAGTCTTTTGAGATTTAACCCAAAACAGTTTTATCCAATTGCGTTTGGAGTTGGAGAAACTCTCAACTAGCTGAAAAAGGAAAAAACTTTAAAAGAAAACTCCAAAAAGTGGCAAAAAGTTCAAAAACTTGAAAAGACTCAAAAGAGCAAATAGGTGGCAGAATTTCCGGAAAAGGAAAAAGATATGACATACACTTCATGACAGTCATGTTTTCTTTGGATGTGTTGTGTCTTTTATTGTCGCTATCTTTTGTTTTCTTTTCATCTCCGGAAAAAAAAAAAAGAGTGGGAGAAGTCATTGCAGCTCATTGGACTGCTGGGCACTATTCAGGTGAGCATCGGTGACCTGCTTTCCCTTTTTTTTTCACTTTTTTCAAGTTTTTCGCTTTTTCATTTTTATTTATTTTTTCTTAATTTAATACTAAGCTATATTCGTCTCTCGATTTCACCTTTCACTATCTACCTACCACTATTCCTAAGTCTATACATGGGACCCCTGCAAGCATCGCCCTCGTTTATGGCTGTGCTATGTCTTTGATTCCCTCTTCCCTCTTCGATTGCTGCCCCTCCCCTTCCCCCCCCCTCCTCTCTTTTTCAATTCCAACCTTCATAAGCAAATAAATAGTCAGTAGTCAATGGTCATGCAACAGAAAAAAAAAAAAAGAAAGTCATTCATTTATTTTTTTTTCTTTCAATTCCAACCTTCATAAGCGAATAAATAGTCAGTGGTCAATGAATGGTCAATGGTCATGCAAAAAAAAAAAAACCAAGGTCATTCATAGAATCATAGCCCTCTGATAATCAGGTTGCTGTGATGATGGTTTACCCCATCGACTACGATACCAAGCTGGTTACCAGCCCGGGCCCGTTCCGGTTACTGTGCCCTGCCTCCTCCCCCCTCAATCCTCCCTCCGTCCTTACGCCTCCCTCCCTCCCTCCCTCCCTTTCTCTACCTGCCTCCTCCCCCCTCAATCTTCCCTCCCTCCTTACGCTTCTCCTCCATTTTCCTCTTTGCTATTATAATCTCATAATACCTCCTCCTTCTCCTCCTCCATTTTCCTCTTTGCTATTATTAATCTCATAAGCATGATAATATCCTTAATACTCCGCGTGCAGCGGGTCTCGCGTAAAGCTCCCACGGAGACCCGCTGCCCAGTGTTGGGAACAGCGCCGAGGTAAGGGGGCGGTCGGCGGTTGGGAAGAGCGGGCCCGCGGGGAACCGAGGGAAACGCTGCGGTTTTTTTTTTTTTGTCGCGGCGTGAACCCGGTCGGGGGACCCGAAAACGTGCATAGTGTTTCGGATTTTTTTTTTTGTGTGTCTTTTGTCAAACGCTGCGGGCATTTTTTTTTTGTTTAGGGGCGGTCGCGGCGTGAACCCGGTCGGGGGACCCCGAAACGTGCAACGGTTTTTTTTTTTGTGTGTCCGTCTTTTCCCGACGTCGCTATGTGTTCCGAAGCTTCGGGTGGGTGTTCGGGGGGGGGGGAACATCGAGGCGATGTGTTTCGAAACTTCCGGTGGGGATCTTCCGTCGGTCCGTGACCTGTTTGAAAGTGTCGGGGGGAGGGGGGATGTCGGCCAGTTGCATGCTTTCTTGGCGAACGGAAACAGAATGGATAGAGAAGCGCGAATATATATATATATATATATATAGAGAGAGAGAGAGAGAGAGAGAGAGAGAGAGAGAGAGAGA